GTGAGACTTCAACTCAAAACACACACACACACACACACACACACACAGACACACAGCTGGTGTTGGAGAATTGGTCAATGTCAGAAAAACCCACACATTTTGGTGACCAGAAGTGAAGTATGAAGGGTTGTGAGAGTATAGAAGAGGAGAAAACAGTTTATTTTGTCCCTATATAGTCTCTCTTTGTTTCCTGTAGTCTCTCTTTTCCTTTTATCATAAGCTTTGTGTTATTTCCTTCCTGCTTTTCCCGTCATTATAGTTCCTTCTATCACCTGCTCTGTGAAGCCTTTCCTAGTCCCTGCTGTTTGTCACTACTCCCTAAAGAGTCGGACTATTTCTCTCTAATGTAGATTATTATAAGTTAAAAGTATAGATATAGTTCCCTTAACTACCCCTCAGCCATAATACCAGAAGTTTCCTGTTACTTTTGGTTATAAGAACAGTTTCATAAGACTTAGTCTTATGTATTTTTAAAAACTTGATGTAAGCCAGGCTCGGTGGCTCAGCCTGTAATCCCACGCTTTGGGAGGCTGAGGTGAGTAGATTGCCTGAGTCCACGGGTTCGAGACCCACCTGGGCAACTTGGTGAGACCTCATCTCTACAATAAATTTAAAAAATTAGCCGGGCGTGGTAGCGCACACCTGTAGTTCCAGCTACTTGGAAGGCTGAGTGGAAGGATCGCCGGAGCCCAGCAGGTTGAGGCTGTGGTGGCCGGTAGTGGCCACTGCACTCCCGTCTGGGTGACAGAGTGAGACTCCAACTCAAAAAAAACCCCCAAAACAAAAAATCTTCATGTAAAATTCTATCTTCTTGCAGAGATTATGAGGGGTGAGGATGTCTGACTCTTCACATAATTTTCCCTTCTGTCATATGTTAGGGCAGTGAGGAAAAAAGCCAGTGTTATTAAGCTGGATGAAGTTGTCATCTCCTTTCAGATGGTGGCTTCCTCTTTGGCTAACATTGTGTTCATCATGCCTTGTTTTCAGGTATTTAAACATTGTTTCATTGTCAGGTACAAATTCTTCCTGGCCCAGTCTTTTGGCAGCTCACTGGCAGCTCTCTGAACCTAGAATGTATAGTAATTCGCATCTTTTGTGCTTGGTTTGACTTCAGGTGGAATTGCAGTTGCAGGAAATTCCCATTCAATATCCTGTGACATTTATTTTAAAGTCAATATCTCACAAGAAAATAATCAGACTTTTAGAAGATGTATTATATCATATAGATTTTATGCATCACTTCTCAATACATGATTTTCATACCTTAATGTTAGATCTGTGTGGGGTTTTTTTTCTTCCATTTTTGAGACAAAGCATCTTGCTTTGTCACCCAGGCAGGAATGTGATGGTCTGCACTAGGTGTTCACCTTGACTTCTCAATGTGCGAGGATTAGGCAAGAGCTATCTTGCCCAGCCTAAGTCTGTATTTTAAAATAATACAACCTCGGGCCGGGCACAGGGGCTCCCAGCACTTTGGGAGGCCAAGGTGAGAGGATTGCCTGAGCCTATGGGTTCAAGACCAGCCTGGGCAACTTGGCAAGACCTCATCTCTACAATAGATCGAGAAAAATTAGCTGGGCATGATGACGTATGCCTGTAATTCCAGCTACTTGAAAGGCTGAGGCAGAAGGATCACTTGAGTCCAGCAGGTTGAGGCTATGGTAACATTGAGCACGCCACTGCCCTCCAGCCTAGGCGACAGAGTGAGACTCTGACTCAAAAGAATAAATAAATAATACAACCTCTAAGAACCTTCATTTCAGCATGTCCATGTTGTAGAATCATACCAGATGCACCATTTAGGTGTAAATTAATTTAAATGCACATGAATGAAATTTAAGTAAAATTAAAAATTCAGTTCTTCAGTCATAGTAGACACATTTGAAATGCTTAATTGGTAATGTGTGGCTAGTGGCTACTGTATTGGATCACACAGACTTCAATCACTGAAGAAGGTGCTTCCCTATAGGACAGAGGTGAAAATTTTTTTTTTTACCATTAGAAGGTTGGGTAAATAGAGTCAATTATATATACCGATTTTGTAATCTATTACACGTTTTTTTTTTCTTACCCATGTGAGGAAAGTTTATGAAAGGAAAAGAAGTTACCACACGCCTGTACAAGATACTACATTCACATTCAGTTGATATTTAGCTTTCCTTCCCCTCCCCCCTCCCCTCCCCACTCCCCTCCTCTGCCTTCCCCTTATCTTCCATCAGAGTCTCACTCTGTCACCCTAGCTTGAGTACAATGCCACAATCATGACATACCACAGCCTTAACCTACTGGGCTCAAGTGAATCCTTCTGTCTCAGCCTCCCAAGCAGCTGGGACTACAGGAAAGTATCACTATGACTGGCTACTTTTATTTTTTTGTAGAGATGATGTCGCGCTATGTTGCCCAGGCTGGTCTCAAACTCCTGGGCTCAAGCGGTTCTCCTACCTTGGCCTCCCAAAGTGCTGGGATTACAGGCATGAGCCTTGATATTTAGCATTTCATGTGAAAGTGTCAAACAAATGCTAGCACAAGCATAGTCTTGGCAGCAGCATTAAGAGTTCAAATATTTCCACCCACCAGAGAGAAAATCTCTAGTTCACCCTTCTGTTTCCCTTTTTACTAGTCACTCATTTCTTAGATGAGGGTTGGCACAACTTCGGTCCTCAGACAAGTTAAAACTGATATAAGTAGAAAAGCAAATCTTTGTATATATGTGTTGGGGTGTGTGTGTGTGTGTGTGTGTGTGTGTGTAGGTTTTTGGAGAAGTGACAACTTCTAGAATAACAAATCCTTTTTATTTTTTTTTAACCACGCACTTAGAAATCAACTAATTAAATGCCTACCCACATTTTACGTATAAGTAAAGACAGGCTAGAGAAAGTGACTGCCTAAGATTATATAAGTAATTAATGGTAGATCTGGACTAAAATCTGTGTTCCTTTACTCCCAAATCAATGGTTATTCTACTGAATCATTTACCTTTCCCATTTTAATTCATAATATACTACTATGTATAAACTACTATTGTACACTACTATTATAATACACTACTGTTGTTGCAGACACAATGACAGGAGTTTAGAGGTATGAATAGTTAATTATTGTAATTAATTTCTTATTTGAAGCAATGTTGGTTTTTATGTTTCAAAGAATTTGGAAATTGCAATTTTTACAGATTGAAGAAGATGAGAGGAAAAAAATAGAAGATATGAAAGAAAATGAACGGATAAAAGCTACTAAAGAATTGGAAACCTGGAAAGAATATCAAAGAAAAGCTGAAGAACAAAAAAAAATTTGGAGAGAAGATAAATTACGTCAAAAAGAAAAGCAAATTGAAGAAGAAAGGAAAAAATTAAAACATAAAAGTCTTACTAGAAGTTTGACATCTAGAAATCTTGCCACAAAAGGTGAAATAATTACTATAATATTTTCTGGAAAAGTGAGCCCTATTGGTGAAATAGCTATATGACTTGTTTTTTGGTAAATCTATTCACAGTATTAGGTCACTATTTTGGTATATTGAGAATAAGCAATAAAATAGAAAGACTAAGGTAAAAGACATTTCTTTTTTTAGGGGATAGCGAGGTTTTCTAATAAAAATGAGCAAAGTTTCATTCAAGGATTCAGAGAAGAGTGTCTTCTTTGCTGGGTCCTTTTGAAATTTATGAAGGTGTTGTTAAACAGGTCCAGCAAGACTTGGAGTGGATTAACAGTGTCAGAAACATTCATTTATTCCTTTAAAATAGGAAACTAGAATTTTACTAAAAGACCTTTTCCTCACATTACTCAGGAAAGTGAATACTGTAAGCAAATCTAGTCTTCAGCGAATAAGTATTACTGCTGGTTTTTAATCCTCATGTGTTCAAAAGCAGATAAATGAATATAATTCTTTATTGAAAACTATGGGTTTGATTTCATCTGATTTTAGAATATTAAACTTTGTTTTGGATATATTTAGTATTTTCCTTATGTTAAAGTATATTTTTATTTAATTCCCATAAATTTAACATTTTAGAATAAAATCACTTATGAAATATATTTATTAGGTGATCATTGTATGCCAGGTGATTTTATTACTGATATCACTCATACTTCACAATAGTTTAGCATAAGTGCTACTATTCTTATTTTAGAAGCAATGGATATTCAGAAAGGATAGTCAGGTATGGTGGTTCACATCTGTAATCCCATCACTTTGGGATTTGTTTAAGCCCAGACCAGCCTAGGCAACATAGTGAGACCTTGTCACTACAATAAATAAATAAAATTAGCAAAGTGGCACACCCCTGTAGTCCCAGTTACTCAGGATGCTGAGACGGAAAGATGGCTTGAGCCCAGGAGGTCGAAGTTGAGGTGAACTGTGATCATGCCACTGTACTCCTTACTCCAGTCTGGGTGACACATCTCAAAGAAAAAAAAGGAAAGAAAGGATAAATAGCTACCAAGGAATCAAGCTTCAACCATGAGTTTAAAAAGCTTAATTTCAACAGAGAATGGAGACTTACTTAAATATGAATGTCTTGAATATACTTGTTTAGTTTTCTGCCTCTTGAAACACAGGCATGAGCCACTGTGCCCAACTTGAAATACCTTTAAAATTACAGTGAAGGGGGCTGGGCATGAGTGACGCACACCTGTAATCCCAGCACTTTGGGAAGTAGAGGGGAGAGAATTGCCTGAGCCCATGGGTTTGAGACCAGCCTGGGGAACTTGGCAAGACCTCGTCTCTACAATAAATCAAAAAATTAGCCAGGTGTGATGGCACATGCCTGTGGCTCCTGTTATTTGGAAGACTGAGGTAGAAGGATTGCCTGAGCTCAGCAGATTAAGGCTGCGGTGGCTGTGAGCATGCCACTGCACTCCAGCCTGGGTGGCAGAGTGGGACTCTGACTTAAAAAAAAAAAATTAGTGAAGGAACCAAAAATGGCGTGAATTCAAAAGGACAGAATGGAAAAAGTGATTATAGCTGACAAGAAAAGTTAAGAAAATTTAAAAACTGGAAATTGAATAAGTGGCAATTGACTTAGTAAACTAGGGAAAACTAAATTGCAAGCCTAGAGAGAAGGGTAGAATAGCAATAATAAGTAAAAAACTCAAAACTTGTATCCTAGCCAGACATGGTGGCACTTGCCTAGTCCCAGCCAGACTGAGGCAGGAAGATCACTTCATCCCAGGAGCTTGAGGCTGCAGTGAGCTATTGATCACGCTACTGTGCTCCAGCCTGGATGACAGAAGAAGATCTCATCTTTAAAAAAAAAAAGTGCAAATTGTCAGACAAGGCCTTCAATGTAGCAATTGTAACTATGTTCTATGACAGAAAGAAAAATAAACTTGTAATGAGTGAGAAGATTTTAAAAATAGCATAGAAATATAAAATAGAGCTGGGTGAGGTGGCTCACACTTATAATTCCAACACTTTGGGAAGCAGAGGTGAGAGCTCAGGAGTTCAAGACCAGCCTGAGCAACTTGACTGCTCAAACCAAAAATAATGAGAAAATCTTGGAAGCAGCAAAAGAAAAAGACAGATTATAATTCTAATGACTATGGACTTCTTATTAGTAATTCTGGAGTCCAGAATGCAGTGGAACAACATGTTCATAAAGTGCTAAAAGAAAACAAACTTATTAACCCAGAATTCCATAAAATGGAATTATTAGTTATTAGTTTCCTAGAGATTCTGTAGCAAATTACCACAAATGTACTTGCTTTAAACAGCAGGAATAGCCGGGCTTGGTGACTCAGCCTGTAATCCCGCGCTTTGGGAGGCTGAGGTGAGTGGATTGCCTGAGCCCGTGGGTTTGAGACCCGCCTGGGCAACTTGGTGAGACCTCTTCTCTACAATAAAAATCAAAAATCAGTCTTTGGTGCTGTCTACAGAGGAGGCAGCCATCTCCTACCCGGCATCATGGCTGCCCTCAGATCCCAGGTGAAACCCAAGATTGTCAAAAAGAGGACCAAGAAGTTCATCCGGCACCAGTCAGACCGATATGTCAAGATTAAGCGTAACTGGCAGAAGCCCAGAGGTATCGACAACAGGGTGCGTAGAAGATTCAAGGGCCAGATTTTGATGCCCAACATTGGTTACGGGAGCAACCAGAAAACAAAGCACATGCTGCCTAGTGGCTTCCGGAAGTTCCTGGTCCACAATGACAAGGAGCTGGAAGTGCTGCTGATGTGCAACAAATCTTATTGTGCTGAGATTGCTCACAATGTTTCCTCCAAGAACCGCAAAGCCATTGTAGAAAGAGCAGCCCAGCTGGTCATCAGAGTCACCAATCCTAATGCCAGGCTGCGCAGTGAAGAAAATGAATAGCCAGCTCGTGCATGTTTTGTGTTGAAATAAAACTATAAAAACTGAAAAAAAACATCAAAAATCAGCTGGGTGTGGTAGCGCATGCCTGTAATTCTGGCTACTCGGAAGGCTGAGGCGGAAGGATTGCCGGAGACAAGCAGGTCAAGGCCACAGTGGCCGGGAGCAGCCACTGCACTCCAGTCTGGGCGACAGAGTGAGACTCCAACTCAAAAAAAAAAAACAAAAACCAGTAGGAATGTATTATCTCACACTTCTGGAAGCCGGAAATCTGAAATTGAAATATTGGCAGGATTGTTTCCTTCTGGAGGCTCTGAGAGGGAACCCTTTCCATACCTCTCTTCTAATTTCTGGAGGCTGTTGTCAATCCTTAGCATTCCTTGGCTTGTAGATGCATTACTCCAATTTCTGCTTCCATTTTCACATATCCTCCTCTTTGTGTATCTGTGTCTTGTCCTTTTCTGTCTCTTATAAGCATACTTATAAGGTCATTGGACTTATGCCACCCAAAATCCAGGATGATCTCATCACAAGATCCTTAACCTAATTACATCTGAAAAGACCCCATTTCCAAATAAGATCATTGAGATGGTTAATTTCAAGTGCCAACTTGATTAGGCCATGGGTGCCCAGATATTTGGTTAAACATTATGTGGGGGAATGTCTGTTTCTGGATAAGACTGGTATTTTAGTTGCACTGAGTAAAGCAGATTGCCTTCCCCAGCGTTGGTGGACCTCATCAAATCCTTTGAAGGCCAGAACACACTAAAAGTCTGAATAAGGAAAAACCCTCTCTGTGTATCTTTGAGCTAGGACATGAGTCTTCTCCTGTCTTTGGATTCAGACTAGAACTATACCATCAGCTTTCCTGGATCTCAGCTTGCCCTCTGCAGATCTAGGGACTTCTCATTCTCCACTATCATGTGAGCAAATTCCTTATAGTAAATTTCTTTATATATATGTATATATTCTCTATTTGGTCCTGTTTCTCTGGCAAATTCAGACTGATATAGGAATCGCAGGAATCAGGAATTAGGACTTGAACATATCTTTTTAAGGCTACTGTTCAACTCACTATAATCCTATAAAAATGAGCCAACTCGGTGGCTCAGCCTGTAATCCCAGCACTTTGGGAGGCTGAGGTGAGTGGATTGCCTGAGCCTGCAGGTTTGAGACCCACCTGGGCAACTTGGCGAGACCTCATCTCTACAATAAATCAAAAATTAGCCGGGCGTGGTAGCACGCTCCTGTAGTTTCATCTACTTGCCCAGCTACTTGGAAGGCTGAGGCGGAAGGATGGCCAGAGCCCAGCAGGTCGAGGCTGTGGTGTGGCCAGGAGCTGCCACTGTACTCCAGGCTGGGTGACAGAGTGAGACTCCAACTCA